TCATTGCTGAGTCAAATGATATATGGATGTCGGACGGCACATAAAACTGTGTTGTTAGCTGAATCTACTCTTATCTATCAAATATGTTCAGCCAAGTCATAGGCTTACTAGACACGAATACAGGCTAAATATGCCCAGCAAAGTCATAGGCTTACTAGACACGAATACAGGCTAAATATGCCCAGCCAAGTAAAGGCTTACTAGACACAGATACATGGTAAATATGCCCAGCCAAGTAAAGGCTTACTAGAAACGAATACAGGGTAAATATGCCCAGCCAAATAAGGGCTTACTTAACACGAAAACAGGGTAAATATGCCCCGCCAAGTATATGCTTACTAGACACGAATACGGGGTTAACATGTCCAGCCAAGTATATGCTTACTAGACACGAATACAGGGTAAATATTCCCAGCCAAATATGGGCTTACTTAACACGAAAACAGGGTAAATATGCCCAGCCAAGTATAGGCTTACTAGACACGAATACAGGGTAAATATGCCCAGCCAAGTATAGGCTTACTAGACACGAATACGGGGTTAATATGTCCGGCCAAGTATAGTCTTACTAGACACGAATACAGGGTAAATATGCCCAGCCAAGTATAGGCTTACTAGACACGAATACAGGATAAATATGCCCAGCCAAGTATAGGCTTACTAGACACGGATACAGGGTAAATATGCCCAGCCAAGTAAAGGCTTACTAGACACGGACACAGAGAGTTACAAAGATGGTATGTAAACAAACAACTTCGCCTATACACTGAGTACAGCTGATTTGTTTGTAACTCCGAACAGTTTATAATAATCAAACTTTGTGTATGAAACACATTATAGACTTTTTGTTCATAGGACAGAATTGACAAAATCCAGATATTTTGAACAGGTTCAGGAAAAGTTTATAATCTGAGAACTAAAACTCCATCGATAGACTTGGATATGTTACTGTTGTAGTAAGGGAAGTTAACAAACATGCAGATAAAACTCTTATGTTTGTCATCGAGTTTGGTGGTAACGTGATACACCTGCTGTTAAATATGGAGGGAGAGGTCGCGTGCAAGTTCAGTTACAGGTTTATGGTGTGTAAGGTAACTCAAGTATTAGAACAACAGTTTACTATCTTTATATATTCTGTCAAATAAAATTTCATATCAGTTTTGAGATCATTGCTCCCTTGTAGAAAACTACTTGTGGCGAAAACAGACATTTTTTCTTGTTACATTGTAACTATTCTAAAATAAATTCAAGTCAAGTGGAAACTTCATATACTAATTGTTCAAGAGCAGAGTCAAGCACCTTGTGACGTACAACACTTACTAGAAATACCAAGTAAGAATTCAACAATTTAAACAGTTAGTGACTCTCCAGTTGTACTGAAGGTTGTTCATTGTGTGTTATTGAGATTTTTCCAAAATCCGGTACAAGAAAGGGTTGAAATGTTATCAACCAATCATATGAACCGCCTTCATAAGTAAGAGTTACCTCCCCTTACCAACAAAAGCTAAACATGAGTAGACTTTACATATCTGTGATCTATACAACGAAGGTAAAACAATGAAATATTTGGGTAAATATATTCGTACTCTTATTAGACAGCAATTCCAGAATCCATTTTTGCCGGGTGTTCCAAAGCTGGTAGAAGCACATGTTGGATTACTTTTGAGCATTGATATTGTAGAGTTTTGATGACTGAGTTCACTGATAACCTGGAAAGTACATCACGGTAGGGAGAGGGATTTCAAACGCGTGCGACCAAATTATTAGAATATTTTCATTTTTACATGCTTACAATATTTCATCTTATTTCGAATTTCGAATTCGTTTTTCCTATTCGTCAAACATTACTCATTCATTCTCCCTTGCCTACTAATGTTTTATGATATCAAAATTCTTGGCCTAGATGGACCTGCGTGATGGGCGTGTACAGAAGGCCGTAGTGTTACCGTAGTGTTACCGCAGTGTTACCGTAGTGTTACCGTAGTGTTACCGTAGTGTTACCGTAGTGTTAGTGTTACCGTAGTGTTACCGTAGTGTTACCGCAGTGTTACCGTAGTGTTACCGCAGTGTTACCGTAGTGTTACCGCAGTGTTACCGCAGTGTTACCGTAGTGTTACCGCAGTGTTACCGTAGTGTTACCGTAGTGTTACCGCAGTGTTACAGTAGTGTTACCGTAGTGTTACCGCAGTGTTACCGTAATGTTACCGTAGTGTTACCGCAGTGTTATCGTAGTGTTACCGTAGTGTTAGTGTTACCGTAGTGTTAGTGTTACCGTAGTGTTACCGTAGTGTTACCGTAGTGTTACCGCAGTGTTACCGTAGTGTTACCGTAGTGTTACCGTAGTGTTACCGCAGTGTTACCGTAGTGTTACCGTAGTGTTACCGTAGTGTTACCGCAGTGTTACCGTAGTGTTACCGTAGTGTTACCGTAGTGTTACCGCAGTGTTACCGTAGTGTTACCGTAGTGTTACCGTAGTGTTACCGCAGTGTTACCGTAGTGTTACCGTAGTGTTACCGTAGTGTTACCGCAGTGTTACCGTAGTGTTACCGTAGTGTTACCGTAGTGTTACCGCAGTGTTACCGTAGTGTTACCGTAGTGTTACCGTAGTGTTACCGCAGTGTTACCGTAGTGTTACCGTAGTGTTACCGTAGTGTTACCGCAGTGTTACCGTAGTGTTACCGTAGTGTTACCGTAGTGTTACCGCAGTGTTACCGTAGTGTTACCGTAGTGTTACCGTAGTGTTACCGCAGTGTTACCGTAGTGTTACCGTAGTGTTACCGTAGTGTTACCGCAGTGTTACCGTAGTGTTACCGTAGTGTTACCGTAGTGTTACCGCAGTGTTACCGTAGTGTTACCGTAGTGTTACCGTAGTGTTACCGCAGTGTTACCGTAGTGTTACCGTAGTGTTACCGTAGTGTTACCGCAGTGTTACCGTAGTGTTACCGTAGTGTTACCGTAGTGTTACCGCAGTGTTACCGTAGTGTTACCGTAATGTTACCGTAGTGTTACCGCATTGTTACCGTAGTGTTACCGTAGTGTTACCGTAGTGTTACCGCAGTGTTACCGTAGTGTTACCGTAGTGTTAGTGTTACCGTAGTGTTAGTGTTACCGTAGTGTTACCGCAGTGTTACCGTCGTGTTACCGTAGTGTTACCGTAGTGTTACCGCAGTGTTACCGTAGTGTTACCGTAGTGTTACCGTAGTGTTACCGTACTGTTACCGTAGTGTTACCGCAGTGTTAGTGTTACCGCAGTGTTACCGTAGTGTTACCGCAGTGTTACCGTGGTGTTACCGTAGTGTTACCGCAGTGTTACAGTAGTGTTACCGTAGTGTTACCGTACTGTTACCGTATTGTTACCGCAGTGTTAGTGTTACCGCAGTGTTATCGTAGTGTTACCGTAGTGTTACAGTAGTGTTACCGTAGTGTTACCGCAGTGTTAGTGTTACGGCAGTGTTACCGTAGTGTTAGTGTTACCGCAGTGTTACCGTAGTGTTCCCGTAGTGTTACAGTAGTGTTACCGTAGTGTTACCGCAGTGTTAGTAGTGTTAGTGTTACCGTAGTGTTACCGTAGTGTTAACGTCGCGTTACCGTAGTGTTACCGCAGTGTTACTGTTACCGCAGTGTTACCGTAGTGTTACCGGAGTGTTACCGCAGTGTTACCGTAGTGTTAGTGTAGTGTTACCGTAGTGTTACCGTAGTGTTACCTCAGTGTTACCGTAGTGTTACCGTAGTGTTATCGTAGTGTTAGTGTTACCGCAGTGTTACCGCAGTGTTACTGTAGTGTTACCGTAGTGTTAGTGTTACCGTAGTGTTAGCGTAGTGTTACCGTAGTGTTACCGTAGTGTTAACGTCGCGTTACCGTAGTGTTACCGCAGTGTTACTGTTACCGCAGTGTTACCGTAGTGTTACCGGAGTGTTACCGCAGTGTTACCGTAGTGTTATGTTACCGTAGTGTTACCGTAGTGTTACCTCAGTGTTACCGTAGTGTTACCGTAGTGTTACCTCAGTGTTACCGTAGTGTTACCGTAGTGTTACCTCAGTGTTACCGTAGTGTTACCGTAGTGTTACCGCAGTGTTACCGTAGTGTTACCGTAGTGTTACCGTAGTGTTAACGTAGCGTTACCGTAGTGTTACCGCAGTGTTACCGTAGTGTTACCGTAGTGTTAGTGTTACCGTAGTGTTACCGCAGTGTTACCGTAGTGTTACCGTAGTGTTACCGTAGTGTTACCGTAGTGTTACCGCAGTGTTACCGTAGTGTTAGTGTTACCGCAGTGTTACAGTAGTGTTACCGTAGTGTAACCACAGTGTTACCGTAGTGTTACCGTAGTGTTACCGCAGTGTTACCGCAGGGTTACCGTAGTGTAACCGTAGTGTTACCGTAGTGTTACGTTAGTGTTACCGCAGTGTTACCGTAGTGTTGGTGTTACCGCAGTGTTACAGTAGTGTTACAGTAGTGTTACCGCAGTGTTACCGGAGTGTTACCGCAGTGTTACCGCAGTGTTACCACAGTGTTACCGTAGTGTTACCGTAGGGTTACCGCTTGTTTGGTTGTATTGGGGAGGGATAGTAGAACCACTGCAAGATATGTATATAAGTGTTACCGCAGTGTTACCGCAGGGTTACCGTAGTGTTACCGTAGTGTTACCGCAGTGTTAGTGTTACCGTAGTGTTACCGTAGTGTTACCGCTTGTTTGGTTGTATTGGGGAGGAATAGTAGAACCACTGCAAGATATGTATATAGTTGAAGAACGCCAGAGATTCCTAGGATAAGTGAACAAAGGAAAATGAAATATTTGTTTAATATACATAACAAATGTTGTACTGTTCCTTTTAAACATGTCGTATCAGTAGATTTTACACCTCTGTGGACGTAATAAATCTAGGTGACGTAATGAAATATATCGGTAAATATAGTCGTGCTGTTATCAGATAGCCTTTATTCGATCTGGTCTGAATTGTACTATTACAACCTGGTGATAAAAACATGTTTGATCAAACATTCAGATGAGTTATATTACTGCCGGGTTAGGGACTGACAAGCTGTATGTAACGTCTTTATACTTTTAAAACTATGGTAGCGTTTCAGGTTAAAACAGCATTACTGTTGGTAAGTCCTCCTCCGGTATGTTTGTTTAATACATGTTATTCCCTCCACCTTTTCATAATTTCCTATTTAATGTTGTTCTGTCTATTGTTTCTACGTCAATAAATCATGTTTTTTCTTTCCACTACAATATATTTTAATATATCATAATTGTTCCTCTCTATCGTTTCATATATTGATATGTCATGCTTTTTCTCTACAAAATATAGTTTGACATGTCATGTTATTTTCTCAACAGTGTTTTGCTTAATATGTCATGTTATTTTACCTACAAATTCACACTTTTATATTCCATGCTGTTCTCTCTATATTTGTATAACTTGTTATGTCATGTTATATATCCTCTACCGTTTTATACATTGTTATGTCATGTTGTTCCCTCTACTGTTTTATACCTTGTTATGTCATGATGTTCCCTCCACTGTTTTATACCTTGTTATGTCATGATGTTCCCTCTACTGTTGTATACCTTGTTATGTCACGGTGCTCCCTCTACCGTTTTATACATTGTTATGTCATGATGTTCCCTCTACTGTATTATACATTGTTATGTCATGGTGTTCCCTCTACCGTTTTATACCTTGTTATGTCATGTTGTTCCCTCTACCGTTTTTTACCTTGATGTGTCATGGTGTTCCCTCTACCGTGTTATACCTTATGTCATGTTGTTCCCTCTGCCGTTTTATACCTTGTTATGTCATGATGTTCCCTCCACTGTTTTATACCTTGTTATGTCATGATGTTCCCTCTACTGTTTTATACCTTGTTATGTCATGGTGTTCCCTCTACCGTTTTATACCTTATGTCATGTTGTTCCCTCCACTGTTTTATACCATGTTATGTCATGATGTTCCCTCTACTGTATTATACATTGTTATGTCATGGTGTTCCCTCTACCGTTTTATACCTTGTTATGTCATGTTGTTCCCTCTACCGTTTTTTACCTTGATGTGTCATGGTGTTCCCTCTACCGTGTTATACCTTATGTCATGTTGTTCCCTCTGCCGTTTTATACCTTGTTATGTCATGATGTTCCCTCCACTGTTTTATACCTTGTTATGTCATGATGTTCCCTCTACTGTTTTATACCTTGTTATGTCATGGTGTTCCCTCTACCGTTTTATACCTTATGTCATGTTGTTCCCTCCACTGTTTTATACCATGTTATGTCATGATGTTCCCTCTACTGTATTATACATTGTTATGTCATGGTGTTCCCTCTACCGTTTTATACCTTGTTATGTCATGTTGTTCCCTCTACCGTTTTTTACCTTGATGTGTCATGGTGTTCCCTCTACCGTTTTATACCTTATGTCATGTTGTTCCCTCTGCCGTTTTATACCTTGTTATGTCATGATGTTCCCTCCACCGTTTTATACCTTGTTATGTCATGATGTTCCCTCTACTGTTTTATACCTTGTTATGTCATGATGTTCCCTCTACTGTATTATACATTGTTATGTCATGGTGTTCCCTCTACCGTTTTATACCTTGTTATGTCATGTTGTTCCCTCTACCGTTTTTTACCTTGATGTGTCATGGTGTTCCCTCTACCGTTTTATACCTTATGTCATGTTGTTCCCTCTGCCGTTTTATACCTTGTTATGTCATGATGTTCCCTCCACTGTTTTATACCTTGTTATGTCATGATGTTCCCTCTACTGTTTTATACCTTGTTATGTCATGATGTTCCCTCTACCGTTTTATACCTTATGTCATGTTGTTCCCTGTGCCGTTTTATACCTTCTTATGTCATGATGTTCCCTCCACTGTTTTATACCTTGTTATGTCATGATGTTCCCTCTACTGTATTGTACATTGTTATGTCATGATGTTCCATT